AGGGGTGATTGGCATCGATATATATCCTCCTGGTTAATAATCGATATATATCCCCCTTATAAAATTTCCCGATGTAGGTTGAAGGTGCAGGTGCACAGTAGTATTAGGTGGAAAAAAGTGAAGTTTAATATTAGTTAATCGAAGATTAGTTAAATCAAGAATTGTATATAGACGACCACAACCATTGCGAGCTTGACTTTTATTTTGTTGTAAATTAGGAACTTTTTTACTCTTAGTTTTAGATGTTGATGTAGCTCTTATTAACTCGGTTTCTTCTTTACTATTAAAATTAGAATCAGAGGGTGGTAAAATACTATTGAGATCATAATGACTAGATGCATTATCAACTAAAAGTAAGATATATCTGTTTTGAAGACAGAATTGATAATCTAATATTTTTAGCTAATCTCCAAAAATATCACACCACATCCATGCTTAAGAATTAGCTTTGTAAATAACTAGCAAGGTATCATAATTAACATTAGTAAGTGCATGGGTTGAATTGAGGATCCAATTACAAGAGGCTTTAGCTTTTGTATTCCAATTGCATTACATACTAGCATTATAGAAACTCTTGTTTTATTCTAAAATTTTTAATTAAAAATATATAGCATTAATAATTTATTTAAAATAAATAAAATAGAGATAAGTAAAGTAACAAATCGACTAATTAAAATAATTTTTAATAAACATACTATAATTACTCTATGAAAAAATATTTTCAGAAAAACATAGAAGCTGAACACAGAAATATACATAAAAATATGTAAAAAATACATAAAATGTATACTTTCTGTGTTTTTGGACAGGAAAACACACTGTATTTTCCATGTTTTCTAAAACACAGAATAGCATTTTCTATGTTTCAAAATACAGTGTTTTTTCCTGTTCAAAAACAAGAAAAGTGTACATTTTACATATTTTTTACATGTTTTTACGTATGTTTCCATGTTCAGCTTCCATGTTTTTCTATGTTTTTCTGAAAATATTTTTTCATAGGGTTATTAGTATATACATTAAAAATCATCTACAGTATTGCTTGTTCTACTTATATTTATAAAATAATCTTTTTAC